ATTAGTTACTAGGTAGGGTAGTATTATTTACTATGTTTATGCTAAGGGTTTCATGATATCTAGAAAGCGTGAAATAACGTATGCTCCTGTTTATGCGACTCGGCCGAATTCATGCTTTTTATCAATCTCAGCTGACAGATATGCCGGACCGGTGGAAAATGGTGTTAGCGATTATTAAACCGAATATTTTTTTCGATTCGCATGAACTAATCTTGCTAGTATAAAAGATAAGGTGTGTGCAAGTCAGTATAAAATTTTTTCTACCGTCAAAACAAAAGATGAAAACAAGTTTCTATTGGCACTGAATGAAAAAATAATTTGTTAAATGTAAGGTGTATTTATATATTTATATCGATCTGGCAACTCCGATAATTGTATAGAGTTACCGGAGTTTAATTGGCACCATTTCACGATTTGAGGTTGAATTCATAGTCAACTTTCCTGTGTTGTTCAAATTCACGAAATGGCGTTTATGCACACACGAATCGGCTGAAATCGCGAAATGAAAGCGTGAGTTCGGCATCGCATAAACACAGTAATTGATTTAAAGATAGGAAGTGAGTCGGTAGTAGATATTAGTTGATATAGTTGATATATATACAATCATTGCAAAGTACTCTAAAAGGTTCATGCATTGCATAACTACAGATACAGTGACTTAATACTAAAGAAATATATACTGTGTTTATGCGATGCCGAATTCACGCTTTCATTTCGCGATTTCAGCCGATTCGTGTGTGCATAAACGCCATTTCGTGAATTCGACAACACACGAAAGTTGACTATGAATTCAACCTGAAAGCGTGAAATGGTCACAATTAAACTCCGGTAACTCTATATAATTATCGGAGTTGCCAGATCGATATAAATACATAAATACACCTTACATTTAACAAATTTTTAGTTCATTCAGTGCCAATGGAAACTAGTTTTCATCTTTTATTTGGACGGTAAAAAAATGTTATACTGGCTTGCACACACTTTATCTTTAATACAAGCAAGATTATTTCATGCGAATCGAAAAAAAATAATCGGTTTTATAATCGCTAACACCTTTTTCCACCGGTCCGGCATCTCTGTCAGCTGAGATTGATAAAAAGCATGAATTCGGCTGTGTCGCATAAACAGGAGCAAATTTTATTTCACGCTTTTAAGAAATCATGAAATCCTTAGCATAAACATAGTAATAGTTTCTAGTGAATCTATTTGGCACATTCTCCGCATCACCATGAATAAGATTTCTATTAAACGTAATACGAAGCATAGTTCTACGGTAAGCTAATGATGGTAAGTTATTTAAGGTAGTCTACTAGAGAAAGATGGTAGTACTAGGCTTGTATCCCAGTTAAGTCTCCGAAGTTTTTCTGCACAGACTTAATCCGGTCTATATGCACCCCATATTGGGGACTTCAAACAGGATCGCAGTACAATAAACAAGGTCTTTGTGACATATTTTTGCACTTTTTAATTTTAGAATAAACTTACATGTTGACTCGGCACAAATTTCACGAGAATGTACGATTAAACTCACCGAGATAAATCATCATAATAATCATTAACACGTCGAAAAACGACAAATCTGGTATCATTTTCTGTGTTCGTATAATTGCTATTATCCTGGTTTCACACCAAAATATATGTTCGAATAATCGCTATTGTCCAAGTTTCACACCATGAAAAACTATTTTATCTTCATATTATAAATCATTAACATATAATAATTAGTATAAGCTTAATACTATTAAGTGTTGGCATGAAACTATTTTGTAATAACTAGAAACTACGTTTTCTTAATACTACATGAAGTTTTTTTTAAAGCCACAAGAATAATAATAAACTAAATAGTCGAATATGACTAGTTTAAAAATAACACTACAGGCTGGCGCTTTATACTCCTTTGTAGAGCACTTACATAGTGTAAGTAAAAAGTAAAGGTAAAGTACAGATGAAACTAATTAGTGTTGAGTTAATACTTACATTTTCATACTTACTTTTTTAACACAACGCCTATTAAATGTAAACTTTTGGTTTTTTTTGGGTGCAGAGAAACAATAATAATTAGAGGGTTAAGAAAGACAATAATCAGAACAAAAATACTTATAGTAATTATAATGAATTTAAAATTAACTCCTGAAAACCGGACAGGTTTAATCAACGAAAACAGAGGAACACTTATTGGCAGCCAAAAAATAAGCCAGAGCCAATGGATTTTGACGATTCAGAGTCTAAAGGGCCAATAAAGCATATAATCAAGGCTATAACAAATATCAAAATAACAATTATAACCAGATCAAGTGGGATCAAACTAAAAGAAATGAAACCCAGAACACTTAGCAAGGTCAACTCCAAAATAATAGGCTACGAACGGGAACTGTTAACCAACCGGCTAACAAGACCATAAGACTCAAAAAATTGAGGAGGACCATTTTTTTAGACAAAAGCAGGAGTAGGCTTTCCCAACTTAAGCCTAGCACTCAGATTGGCTAAGAGTGTCACTAGTCAATATATCATATTCTTTGTAGTGTGCCCGAAGTTTTCAAAGCTCACCCGCAATTGGAGAAATTTAAAAAGGAGGAGTCTCCTGGTACATAAAGAAATTAAATTGAAAATATATGAAATGTTCAACGAATGTTGTTATTTATGTATATTAGTAGTTTAAAACTTCCCTTTCGTCCCACGGATGCTTCGCCATCTTACCCGCCCCCACCGCAGTCCAGCTCCGAGTCCCAATAGGCATATTGGACCTTGAGAAAGTGGGAGCCGGATTGGGAACGGGGTTGATTAGCTGATGCTGCAGGAAGTCGCCCAGCATCCTGGCAGTGGCTGGCTATGGCTTCTCTAATTGTTCCCTAACGGGCGCCCTATTTTCCTCCTCCCTATAGAAACCAGCGGGTACTCCAGCTCCGCTTAAGCTGCCAAGTAGCTGGTGGTGGTGGTGTACGGAGTCCTAATAGAGAGGTCGTCGAAGATCATTTTACTGGCGGTTCTGCTAAAACTTCTATTAGTACAACGCAACCAAATTCTTTTGCAGGATGTCCATGTAGAGAGCGAAGTCCCACTCGGCATGTTCCTTCCCACTGGGATTCTCTAGTGGATCTCCTAAAGCACTTCGATTGTTCCACGGACTTGCACCTGTTGTGGAATTGCTTCCTGTCGTGAAATCCCACAATAAAGGGCCACAGCTTGGATTAGGCTTCTTATTTCATCTGCACTGACCTCCTGCCGTCGATTTCCATTTTAAAGCCTAGTACTCACATCGACGAAAACCGCGAGCCAACCATAGGATTGAGCGAGAGGCAAATACGCGGCTAAAGCTTTTCGTCGGATCTGTTTTTCAGCGCGGTACTCAGATGAGCTAAGGAAATACCAGAAAAAATACCTGATTTTGCGTGTGAACTTTCGATGAACGCCGTTAGCCGCGGCCCAAAGAATAAGAAATTTAATCTTTGGCTGTGTTGGTGCAGAAGCGGGTGGAAACAAAAATTCAAAAATGGAAAAAAAACCACGCCAAAAATGCCATCAGGAGTTTAGTTCTGAGGAAAAAGTGAGCTTAATCCAAGCTGTGGAGGAGCGCCCAGTGTTGTGGGACTTGACCCACAAAAAGCATTTCGATGCTGTTTTTATGAAGAGAACCTGGGAGGAGATTGCGCTGGTCATTGACAAAGATTGTAAGTTATAATTTTGCATTATTAAACATTTGTGAACATAAGTATATAATATATACTTATTATGCTTAGATAATAGTTGCAAGCTGGCTTGGAAGTCCCTGCAGGACAGCCTTAAGTATCACAACAAGGTCAGAAAGCAGAAGAGTGGAAGAGCTGGAGGAGATCTACTGGAGAAGCCCAGTGGAAAAGAGTGTGCCGAGTGGGAATTCGCTCCGTACATGGACTTCTTGCCGGACGTGTCCTCGCAAAGAAGGTAGGTTCTGGCCAAATGAATTTGGTTACGTTTTACTAATCATTTCAATTATAGCAGAGCCACCGCGATCTCAGACGAGATCTCTATTGAAGACTGGACACTGGACTCCACCACCATCAGCTACTCTGCAGCTGAAGCGAAGCTGGAGGCCGCTCTAGAAGTTGAGGTACCCGAGGAATTGTATACCTACGTAAGTTGCTCTTCTCTTGTTTGATTTTGTAACATTTATATGATTTTACTTTCACTTTCATAGGGAGGAGGAAAAAAGCCACCCCCAAAGAAGAGAAAGCTGGATGGTGTCGGCTCACCAGCCGTGGCCATGTGTAACATGCTGGGGGAATTCCTGCAGCATCAGCGAGACAACACCACTCTATCAAGGCCCATATTGGCCTATTGGGGTGGGGAGCTGAACGCCATGCGTCCGGAAGATGCTGCCAGGGTGGAGAAGAAGATGACGCAGCTTCTGTGGGACGAAAAAGAATCCCTTTATTACTAATTTAGATTAATAAAAACATTTGTTGAACATTTCAATTATTATACCCGTTACTCGTAGAGTAAAAGGGTATACTAGATTCGTCGGAAAGTATGTAACAGGCAGAAGGAAGCGTTTCCGACCCCATAAAGTATATATATTCTTGATCAGGATCACTAGCCGAGTCGATCTAGCAATGTCCGTCAGTCTGTCTGTCCGGATGAACGCTGAGATCTCGGAAACTATAAGAGCTGGGCTATTGAGCTTTGGCGTGTAGATTCCTGAGCTTCTTACGCAGCGCAAGTTTGTTTCAGCAGAGTGCCACGCCCACTCTAACGCCCACAAACCGCCCAAAACTGTGGCTCCTACAGTTTTGATGCTAAAATAAAAATTTTAACTGAAATGTATTTTTCTCATCAATACCTAACGATTGACCAAAAAAAAAAAATTGGCACGCCCACTCTAACGCCCATAACGCTTAAATCCGTCTACCGCCGGTAGGTGGCGTATTTTAATCTCGCTTTGCTGCTTGCATATCTCCATTTCCCTTTGGGACCTTTAGCTGAGTAACGGTTATCTGAAAGTCAAGGTACTCGACTATAGCGTTCTTCCTTGTTTTATTTTATTTTCTTCATACACCAGCAGACTCGTCTTGCCAAGGTACTTGAGAATACCCAGAACTAACGTTTAGATATTCCATCAAGTTGCTTCGAACTTCCTTGCTGAAATCTTGGGGGCGACCTCGTCGGCAGGCTCGCAGGTCGACAAGCACGTTGCTCGGTACTTCGTGCAACGTGTAAGTTGTAAGACTTTTCCGCATCAAAAAATTATGCAGGGCACAACAGGCTGCAATAACTTTCTGAGACTTGCTCGGGTTACTCAGCAAAGTGCGTTGCACAGCCATCCACCGTGCAGGTCTTCTATGCAGGTCCTTGCCACTGTATGGCTTCATAATGCGCTTATGAAGGGGAAACGCATCATCGCCGATTATGAAGTAGGGAGTTCGGTGCCTGTTTATCACTTTGTCCTCTGGAAACGGTAGCTCATCCAAAAGTAGGGGTTTTCAAGCGTACTGTGGGAAAAAGCGTTCATGTCTCCCTCGCTTCCGAACGCCCCGGCTTCTATGTAAGTGAACCGGTAGTAAGCGTCGCAAATTGCCATAAGCGCAATCCCTACATTAGAATAGATTTACTTATTACATTTTCTTTGATATTTAAAAGTACATACCTTATAATTGTAAAAAATCGCCGCATGCTTCCCGTCGACGGCACCAAGACAGCTTGGAAAGTTCCATTCGTCCTTGAAGTCTTTCGCCCACCTCAGCATGTTATCGGTGGTCCACTTCGGAAATTCCCCTTGCAACTTAGTCGAAATTGCTGTGCAAACGTGGTAGAGGACGATTCCGAAATGTTGCTTGCTGATCCAATAAGTGGATCCAACATGGCGTTGCAGATCTCCAGAAGCAAGAAATCCAACAAAGGAATATTAAATCACAATATTAAAATACAATAATGGTATCAAAGTCTAAACATATATGTATATATATTCTATTTACTCCAAAACGATGGCCAACTTTGCTTTTAGCGGTATGGCATCTGGCCGGGTGTTCCGTTTGGGGATAAGGTATTCTCCACCGATCCAAAGAGTGCTTTGAAGCTGCTTTCCGGCATATGGAAGAAAATGGATGGGGTGTTAACCAAGTTCTAAAACTTTAAAATAGAAGAAAATGCTCATAGGTGCAAGAGTATTTCTTTATTATTCAACAATCTTACTTACGTCTGAAGCATAGCGGCCTTTGAAGGAGCGTTCCTTGAGATACGGGATCACCGAATATTTCCGCCTTTGTGTCCTTTTTTCCGCCTCCTCCTGCTCTTCTGCGGCAATGCACATCGCCATGCCAACTGCAAAGGTAAAGCTTGCATCCTTGGTCTTCCACATTTTGTAACTTTTAAATTTTCAATTTGTTTGATTTTTGTTTGACAACAAACCCAGATGATTGACAATTAGACCATGCTATATGGTTTGCGGATGAACTCTGAAAAAATCGGTCACACTACAAAAAATAAGATTTTTCGACTAGTGAAATTTCTTAAGCCTAATACTCAGATCGGCTAATAGTTTCACTAGTCGAAAAATCTTATTCTTTGTAGTGTGACCGAAGTTTTCAAAGTTCACCCGCAATGCATATAGCATGGTCTTACTGTCAAGTAGCTGAGTTTGTTGCCAAACGGAAAACAAATCAATTGGAAAAATTAAAAAAGGAGGAGTCTGCGATATTTAAAGAAATTTAAATAAAAATAAATGGAATGTTCAACGAATGTTTTCACTCATGTAAATAAGTAGTTTAAAGATTCCTTCTCGTCCCACGGATGCTTCGCCATCTTTCCCGCCACCGCAGTCCAGCTCCGAGTCCCAATAGGCATATTGGACCTTGAGGAAGTGGGAGAACGGGGTTGATCCGCTGATGCTGCAGGAAGTCGCCCAGCATCCTGGCATTGGCTGGCTATGGCTTCTCCAATTGTTCCTTAGCGGGCGTCCTGTTTTCCTCCTTCCTATAGAAGCCAGCGGGTCCTCCAGCTCCGCTTAAGCTTCCTAGTAGCTGGTGGTGGTGGTGTCCGGAGTCCAAATGGAGAGGTCGTCGGAGATCGTATTACTGGTTGTTCTGTTAAAAAGATACTTCTATTAGTACAACGCAACCAAATTCTTTTGGCCAGATCTTACCTTCTTTGCGAGGACGCGCCCGGCAGGATGTCCATGTAGAGATCGAAGTCCCACTCGGCATGTTCCTACCCACTGGCATTCTCTAGTGGATCTCCTTCAGAACCTCAACTATTCTGCGAATTTGCCCCTTTTGTGGAATTGCTTCCTGTCGGTGAAATCCCACAATAAAGTTCAGAAGCTTGGATTAGGCGTCCTATTTCATCTTCACTTACCTCCTGCATCCGATTTTGGGGTTTTCCTTTAATTTTGAATTTGTAGTTTCCACATCGCCTTTGATCGAACACCGCCAAAGATTAAATTTCTTATACTTTGGGCCGCGGCTAACGGCGCTCATCGAAAATTCACTCGCGAAATCTGGTATTTTTTTCTGGTATTTCCTTAGCTCATCTGAGTACCGCGCTGAAAAACAGACCCGACGAAAGCGTTAGCCGCGTATTTGCCTCTGGCTCACTCCTATGGCTAGCTCGCGGTTTTCGTCGATGTGAGTACTAGGCTTTAATAAAAATGGAAGTAAAATACTAAAAAGTTAAAAATATCATCATCATCATCAGATTCTTATGAATAAAACCGACATTCAGAAAACCTCATACTCAATAAACAATAGGAAATACGAATTTCTGAGAATGCCTTTTGGGTTAACAAACGCTCCAAGAATATTCCAACGAGCAATGGATACGTAAAACTTCAATAGAGTTTGATGATTCCGCTCTAAAAACTGAAAAATCAAAGTTCTTTAAATTAGAAACTAACATAAAATATCCAATTCCTAAAAATATTTGAGAGCTTAGGAGATTTCTTGGCCCTACAGGACATTACAGAAAATTTGTCCAAAATTACGCAAGATTGCGAAAACTTAAACAAAATATTTAGAAAACCAAAATGTCCTTGCCTCCAGGGCAATGCCTTTCGAGACAATAAACGCCTGTCCCTTGCTCTATCCCGGATGGTCCCACTAGGTTCTGCTGCCTAGCAGCTCACTATCGCCTAGCTCAGATGAACGTTCGCTCTGCGATGAGCTCTGCGCGGCGATCGTGACGTGGCCGCCGGTGATGTCTGTTGGCGTCGATGCCGAGGTCCTCTGCGCTGTTTCTTGTCTTGCGTGCTCTTGGACAAACCGCAGTTCCGGGACTTGCTGAACCGCCTCTTCAGGACAACTCCTCTTGAATGCCTCAACGGGTCGATCGCTCGCCCTTCCTGACTGGTAGTTTGGTGCTCTGGCACTCGGGGTTTTTGGCAGTTGCTTTTCCTGCACTTCGCCGGTAATTTAAGGGCTCTCCTGGACAACGCCTCTTGAAACCACAAATCGATCGACCACTCGTCCATCGCGCCCCCCGATCTCACGGTTTCTCGTCGTAGGACTCTATTGTTTGACTCTGACAGACCCGCCGGGCGATACGACAGGGTGCGGTCGTGACAAAGTTGGAAACAAATCGCCTTGACATAGCCGTGTGATGGCTTCCGGACCTCAGCTAATTGTGTCTCAATTCGGAGAATCCTGATGTCCCAATCCCGAACGTCTATATGTAGCGATCTTTATCCTTGTAGGTTTCCCACGGCGCTGCTTCCGACGACTGGACCTGTGCTGACTTACTGCTGTTTGACTTGGTATTTCGACTTTTACAATTCAGAAATAGTGGCGAATTGACACTCTCAAAACTCTCTCGAACTGACTTCTAAAAACTATCTTGAAATGAATTCTACAACTCTCAAGAACTGAATTCTCCAAACTGTCTTTTCCCGCAGTGCCATTACTACGCGTATTCGCTGCGTATCCAGCAGTGGCAGGCCTCCCTACAGGGGATCGCCGCTTCAATTTGTGCGGAGTTACTTAACTTCTCACATTCTCCCCTGCTGTTATCCTGTGAGTCCTCGTAGCCTTTGAGTGAAGCGTTGCCACCTGCTCGTTGCGATGTATTACCTTTTTACCGATATTTTCAGTATTTCTTGCGCCGGGCCGGCCTCCACGGAGGCGTGGCCACCAAGGATCCTCCGTCGCTATCCCGGTCCTGGTCGATATACCAGCGGGGAGTGGGTGGCACCTCCGGCAGACACCACGGAGGGGACGGCGGGCAGGGCTCGTCCTCGTCCTCGTCCCTCAGCCCCGGACTGGGCTCCTCGGCCGCGTAACTGGGAGTAAGTGGGACCTTCCACGAATTTGCCTTCGGATCCCACAGCCGTCGCTCCTCCTCCTCCACCTCTCTCAGCCGGGCTTACCATCGCGCCGCCGCCCTCTCATGGTCCTGGAGCAGCTTGGCCTGCCACCGGTCCTCCTCCTCCTTCGCCTCTCGCAGCCAGACATGACATCGCACCGCCGCCTCCCTATGGTCCTGGCACAGCCTGGCCTGCCACCGCGGCTCCTCCTGCATCGCCTCTCGCAGCCAGGCATGACATCTCGCCGGCGCCTTTCTATGGTCTTGGCGCAGCCTGGCCTGCTCCTCCTTCGTTCGATGTTCAGACCTCGTGATCCTGGTGCTCATTTTGACCTCTCGATCGCAGGGCTCCTCTTACACGAAACCTCGGTTGCAGGCCTTCCTCTTTGCTTGACACCGATATGTCCTTCCCTGGGGCGCTTGCTCTCTTACGGTACAGCTCTCTTTGCTGTGCCGTCTTCCCCCTACCTTCGTAAAACACACAAACGTTGTACTCCGTCAGATCATAGTGGCACTCTGTATGCTGCGGTTCGTTGCTTCTCTGACTTTCCTAACTAACTTGCTTTTCAAACCCTAACTTCGACCAACCTTGGTAAGTATCCCTGGAGGTTGTCCTTGGAGGGTATCCTTCGGGGCATTCCTGGGCGGTATCCTTGGAGGGTACTCTTCGGGGCATTTCTGGGCAGTATCCTTATAGTATCCTTGCCTGTTATCCTTGGGGTGTCCTTGCACGGTATCCTTGAAGTAGCCTTAAGGGTATCCTTCGGGCATCATTGGGGTATCCTTGGGGTATGCTTAGTGTATCCTTGCGGTGTCATTGGGCTATCCTTGGGGTATCCTTGGGGTATCCTTGGGGTATTCTTGGGGTATCCTTAGGGTATCTTTGGGGTATCCTTGAAGCATTATTTTATGTTTGAATGATATGCTTTTGGGGTCTCCGTATTGCGTCGTCCAGTGCGTAGGGCTTCCTTATCATATTGGGTAAGAAACGCCGGTGGATTCCGATGTGCCCTTGTTCACTGCTAGCACAATCTCCGGCCATTTTTCGTCCCAGTTTCTCTGGTCCTGCCCTGCGAATTGCGCAATCATAGTCTTGACCGTTCTGTTTGCTCGTTCTGTCGGATTCTCTTGAGGTGTGTAAAGGTGTGTGCGGTGAATTTTTGTCTGATACCCGTAGCGACTTTGGGCCGCACATCTTCCATGACGCGACGTCTTCACTGCCTGCTCGGTGTGGTATGTTTCTGTACAGTATCTCACCTTCCATCACAGCACTCCTTCTCCGTTGTTAAATAGTTATATTTCGTGCCGTTTAGTGCTTGGCACGAATATAAGATTACTTTTTCGGTATCCTGGGTCAGTATTGCTCCGATGTCGTAGTCGCTGGCGTCTGTTTGCAGGATGAAAACTCTACTGAGTCTTGCCCTTACTTCCTCAAACACCATCTGGTGCTCTGGTGTCCACTCCCACTTGCTGCCTTTGCCTAGCAGGTCATTCAGGGGTTTGACGATTCTTGATAAATCTGGTACAATTCGGCGGTACCACGACGCTACTCCTAGGTATTGCCGGAGTTCTTTGACGGTCGAGGGTGGTTCCAGTTCAGCGATGGCAGCTACTTTTTTCGGATCTGTTCCTATTCCCTCGATAGTCACTCGTTGTCCAAGACACAGCAGTTCCTACTTAAAGAATTGGCATTTTTCTGGAGTTAGCATTTGCTTCTTTTAGACGTCGGAACACTTCTTTTATGTTTTCCTTGTGTTCTTCTACTCTGCGACCGATCATTATTATGTCATTTTGGTAAGCGAATGTGTGAGGTGACATCTCGGTGCCAATTACTTGGTCCAAAGCCCGCTGAAATGTTGCCGACGTTGAGTAGAGTCAGTACGGCAGTACTTTCCACTGGAATAGACCTTTGCCTGGCACCGTGAACGCCGTGTATTGACTGCTATTTTCTTCCAGTGGGATCTTCCAGTACCCATCCTTCAGGTCCAAGCTGCTGATGTACCGCACTTCCCTTAGTTAATCTAGGATGTAGTTTATGCGGGGAATTTGGTAGGCATCCTTCACTGACTTCACGTTGACCTAGTTGAAGTCGACGCACAGTCTCCACTTGCCTGTCTTCTTTTTCACCATCTTGATGGAAGAGCTTTATGGGCTCTTTGAATGCTCTATGAACCCCATTTGGAGAACCTCTGCTTGATTGGTTTGTCATCCTTCATTTTGATCTGTTGTTCTGCCATATT